TATATATATATATATATATTGTCGATGCAAACTAAAACCCTCACTATTAAATAAATATCTGAGAAGTTTGTCTAATGATCGATATAAACACAGCTATCTACTACTCTGTTTCCATAGTTACTAATAGCATTGTCAATTTCTCCTTTAAAATTAACTCGAATTGACGTTATTTGTAAAAGTATCTACATTTTCGTCCAAATGTTTATCTTTGCTAGCAGTAATAGATTAAAGAATGGACTAATACATATCTATATGTATGTCCATTATTCCCTACATTATTTAGTGGGCTAAGATATAAGTCATGTTTTTGTACAAGTCAAATATGTGCTGCTGTTATCTTTATTACGTTAATTATCGTCTTAAGTTTGAGTACTAAACCTTCATTTCGCTTACACACACACACACAACAAAGTGTATTTCTTTGGGTTGGTTTGTTTTGTTTTTGTTTGTTACACGAATACTTGTGCTATAGATTTTGTTCTAAGTTCGACCAACTTTTGTCATCTTAAATTGTTGACTCGTAAAAATACACGTATCTTAACGAAGGCAAAATCCACCTTAATGATAAGCTTTCCAGAATGTTAATATAATCCCACAACTCTTTCTAACTCGAGTTTTCTTCAGACAATAATTATTCTTCACGGCGGTTTCTGTGAGTCGTAGTGAAGCATTCGTCCAATCACATTTTGTTAAAACCTAAAAGTAACTTTTCTACAATTACTGTGGCTTACTTTTGCCATCATAGGAATAGATTCAAAAATGTTACATTATACCTATGACGTTCCAACAGTAAAGAATAAGGTGAGTGTCTCTCACTGCTTTCCACAGGTTTTATGAACAGCGAAACTATACGAAGGTAACACCACTGACCAGTCAGTTAAATAGTAATATACTGCCCACACGCACAATAAACACTATAGATCTCCATCTGTAAAAAGTGCCAGGGTACCAACGGAATTTTTGTTTAATTGTGATTAACCAGATCTCTTTTGATCCTACATGTTTTTACTATCATGATGTACATACGGGAAGTAATGCCCACTATGTAAAGGGTTGAGGGAATAGCTTTATGAATACAATAGCACACCTACTGTCTTACAGAACTGAAATAGACAAAATTTAAGAGAAGATAAAAGTTTGGTTGTTAATCTTACTTTTCGTGTTCTTTTCGTCCGAGGAAGGGTGTGTTTTTCTTTTAATTGTAATTTATAAAGCTATAAAATCTAAGTAAACGAGGACTTTTCAAAAGGAAAACCAAAACATGAAGAAGAAAAATAAGGGCATTTCATGAAAATGTATTAGATATTAATCACAACGAATCTAAATTTTAGGACTCACTCATGTTATAAACTAACTCAAGAACTTAGTAGCTCGTGTAACATATCCTTTATAAACGGAATAAGTGAGTGGTATCCGAAAATATGAGGTACACCTTGTTTAAATTAATGATGACTTTGTGTGACCGATATCCGGAAATTTAAGGTACATTTTCCTTGGATTAACGAAGACTATGTGTGTGACTGGTATCTAAAAAAGTGCGTACATCTTGTTTAGATTAATAATGACTTTGTGTGACCGATATCCGGAAATTTAAAGTACATTTTCCTTGGATTAACGAAGACTTTGTGTGACTGGTATCTGGAAAAGTGAGTACATCTTGTTTAGATTAACGAAGGTTTTGATTAGGAGTTTGAAAAATGGTCAATTAAAGGAGAGCAACAAATTTTAAGAGATTCAACTGTTTAACAATCCTATTCATCCAAGATCACAATTTTACAAGACAGTTTGAAACTATAAATCGATAATGTTTTTCTTAGCATTAATGAGTGTAAGTTCATGACTACGTCAAATTATACTGAGTAGTTTAATTCCGAAAGTAAACTACGTTTTTTCTGTTTCTTGGAATATTTCTGAAACTGAGTTCTAAAGATATTTAGGTACTCTAAGGTAAGTGGTGCTTGAATAACTAACTAATTGTAATAATTCAAAATAAACCAACAATTTCAACTTTTTCTAATCTGGGAGCCTGTTTTAAAATTTTATAATAAAAACAACAAAGCATGTGTATTCTAAGGGAAATTAATATGACTGTGTAAAAAAAAAAAGATAACATCACTAGCCTGCCAACTTTGCATATTTCCTCTCTCGCGTGTGGATTGTTTGTTTTTGAATTTCGCCCAAAGCTACACGAGGGCTATCTGCGGTAGCCGTCCCTAATTTAGCAGTGAAAGACTTAGGCAACTAGTCATCACCAACCACCGCCAACTCTTTTACCAACGAATAGTGGAATTGACCGTCACATTATAACGCCCCCACGGCTGAAAGGGCGAGCATTTTCAGCGGGACGGGATTCGAACTCGCGACCCTCAGATTACGAGTCAAGCGCCCTAACCACCTGACCATGCCGGGCCCTCGCGTGTGGAAGTTTTACTGCGAAATTGTCAATTTATTTATTTTTACTATAAATACGTCCTTCCAGTCAATCTATAACTGTGATAAACGCCGCCAAAATTTATTCAGTACTCATCTTGACCATTTTATTCCTATCTTTTCGCGAATGTGCTCTAACAAAAATGATCAGAAGACCTTTTCGTTTATCCAGACTATTTCAATTAGTTAAAAACAAATAACTTCAGATCATTCACACGAATAGTGATAAAAGATGCAGATCTCAATATTTCATACCAATTTATCGCGAAATCTATGTATTTAATAGTACCTAACGTTAGTCGCGCCCACAAATGTAATAGTCACCATGTAAAAATTATAATAATGGATTTGACTGCAATAAGATTAAAGGTCTATTACATTTGTCGTTGAAGAGATTATTGAAGTCATGGACAAAAGAATATTAAATCTAAGGTGATATGTAACTTTTGTAAGCGTGCCAAAAAAGAAAAACAGAAAGAGAGAAAAGCAGAAAATTAATGATCCACTTCAGGCAAAGAGTTTCTAAAAGTTAAGATACGAAAAACGTTGGATCAACTGTAATGTATGTGGCTTCAAAAAGTTATTTTTGCTTACATAAAACTAGTAAAATTTAAACTGTAGTTAGAATTCCTATGAAAATCTGTAATATGATTACAAAATATTCTCTTTGGATGGAACATACAAAACTAATAGACCATTTTTTAATTAACAATTGCCATTTTTGTTGTAGCTTGCCAATAAGTAAGCAAATTAAATAATAACATAAAAAATAAAAACGTCGCGATATTATGATCAAACTCAATTTTATGATATACTCAGGAATGTTGAAAATACCTACACGGTTATAGTTGAACTTATAATGGCATAAGATTAAATCTTACCTAAGTATATACATGCTAACACTAAAAAAACGGCCTCTGATTTTGTTTAATAGAAATGAAAACACAAATTTCTATAGCTGCTCTCTGAGTAAACATTATTTCAAAAATTATTAAATTTCATTATTAACGTTCCTGATTTGTTAACTACAAGAACGAAGACCGCTTGAATTCTAATTAAATGAGCCCAATCAATGAGCAATCAGACTTAAAATACAAAAACAGATAGATGAGCATACTGACGCTCAGGCCCCCCAGTAGCACAGCGGTATGTCTGCGGACTTACAACGCTAGAATCCGGGTTTCGATACCCGTG